TGGTTCCTACTGCTTGCTCGGAGCTCAGCTCGTAACAGAATGATCACCTCAGAAGCTGTGAAGGGCCAATGAGGTTGAAAAATAAGTAAAGATGTATAAATAGATAGAATAAGGGTTAGTAAACCACAAATAATGGATTTTCTCGTAAGCATCCGAGTAACATGTCTGACTCACCCCACTAGTATCATGAAAGCACTTCCTGAGGTTAAACTGAGGAAATCGCAACGAATTGTAGATGATCGACGCGACGATGACGGTAGAGCAGATCTGCTTGGCTCGACGCGTCGTGCAGTGGTCGTTGGACACGGATTTCCAACAAACCTTAATGAAACCGATCAGTAGGAGCACTATATGGACTTGGGGGGGGGAATTTCTTAACGCACATTTACGAAGCAGTCGAAAGCGGCAGCCACGGTGAAGTAGATGCTGCATGTTTGAGCCATATACCCAAATGGTAGGATATAGACGGTCGTGTACGGTGCTCTCGCCAATTCCGGTATATAGGACCGAGCAGAGTCTAAATGACATTGACTGAGAAAAAAAAGAAAAAAAGACCACATTCGAAGGGAAAGGACCTCATAAGGTTGCCACCCTTCCATTTTTACTGATGGTGAGACCACTTCAGTATTTTGTCTGAATCCTTGCTCTCACTGTCCAATCCTGATTTCATCATATCTCCGAGAAAAACGAGGGTCAAGGGGGATGATTACGATATAATAGCTTCTGGCGCTGGCCACCCCTTCTGAGATACGCCACGCATTCTACTACCCTACATTAACCGTGGCATAAGTTGAACGCGACTCCGCTCAAAAATATCTTCCTGAACAGATTAAATAGGCTTCCCAGTTTGATACCAATATGACGACTTTGCGTGGCTAGCCTAGGTAAGATTTGGCTCAGGATTTTACCTTCAGTGCCATTTCTCTTCCACCTCCGCCCTGGCGACGGGAATGATAACAGAAATTGATGCTGTCCTGGTTCACCCGAAACAATTGGACTGTTTTTGCAAGAGCGAGCTACCTAGCTGACTACGCGTATATTTTCCACCTTTCTCACCAATCCGTCCTATTCATGCAGGGTCAGCTGTTTCTGATAGGAACTGAGTATTCCCTCACCGCGCACATGTTGCGCAGGCTCATCCTTATTTATGGTGCACATGCTCATCTCGCTGTTCTTTGAGCGATGGCGCCCATTCGCGTGGCACTTCTACAGCCAAGGCGTTTTACGAGTTGTTTTTTGGTCTCTCTGAGCCTGTTGTCACGAGTTCAGCATGACTGGGTGCCTGCGCTGCCATTCCCGTCGAGTAAGCCTACCTAACTATAATAGTAAGTGCGGAATCTCGGCAGTGTCAAAAAAACCGATGCAAGGACTGGAATAGATCAAAGAAGCTTTTCCGCGGAGAATTCTCCCATAATGTAGTCACAGGTCCTTTTAAAAGATCGATAGCGTAAGTTTTTACTGATAGGATCCAACAAATATTTCTCGTTAATTTCGGTCTTGGTCTAACCTTGATTATGGAAAGCCCTAATCACTCACTCCACCCAGGTCCTGCTCCACGTCGCCGAGCGCATTAGTGGGATTACAAAGTCCGGTGAGTGACCGCAACCGTAACACGTGACTGGTTGGCGCGCAACGTCACGTGTCATCGATTAGAATTCGACGTGCCCTTTTGTCGTTTTTCCGCGCACTCCTACGGCGACAGAATGGGCGTGATAGAACCTGGCTCTTGTACGGAGCGTCCATGCTGGTATATAGGAGGACTATGGCAGTTGGTCGAATGTGCCGGCAAGTGGTTTAGCCGGCACCCCCGGGCTAACCTCCCTTGCCCTGCGCGCGAAGCGCGCGCAGCCGCTTGCTTCGCCGCTTGCTTCGCCGCTTGCTTCGCCGCTTGCTTCGCCGCTTGCTTCGCCGCTTGCTTCGCCGCTTGCTTCGCCGCTTGCTTCGCCGCTTGCTTCGCCGCTTGCTTCGCCGCTTGCTTCGCCGCGCAAGCGGCCGAGTGGGTACACATCAGTAGTGTGGCTGCGCGCTCCAGTGCCAACGTGGATTACGGTAGCGGTCACTCACCGGACTGTTAAATCCGGCTTGTGCCGAGCGCACAGCGTTCGAGTATTCCTTCTCGATTTGCAATGTACTTCAACTCCCCTTTCGGGTGTTCCCCAAGAGGGTCATCGCGCAGCGAAGGAAGAGACGCAGATGCGGCAAAGGACGAGTTGCAGCGCGTGCTGTGCGATATGAGACGTAGTATGGTACACTCTATTTAACCTGACGCCTAACCGCTACAGTATGCGCTGCGACTCGTCCTTTGCCGCGTCTGCGTCTCTTCCTTCGCCGCGCGATGTTCCTCTTCCAGGACACCCTTGCCTGTCGGATGCCCTCATTATGAATTTATAGTGACCGATACTGTGCTCCCTCCATCTGGACCCATGAAAACTGAACACTATGAATGATAAATATTCCCCAATTAGAAGTAATCACACTCCCAGCGAACTGAGCAGACCCTAGACTCTTCTAAAGGCTCGTTTGTCGTAGGTATACATGAAAGGACACATCAGTGAATCAGAAATGGACAAAATATATCTACGACCTTTGGCCTACTTTTGACGGCACGGTAGGGATCGAATAGGTGAGCGTTTTGTTCACAAAAAAAATTACAAGCAAAATGAGAAACTCGGTGGGGTAGAAACAAAATGCGCCATAGATAAATACTGAAATCTCCTTGTTTTGTTCGTTAGCTGCTGGGATAACGCCTAAGTTAGGAACTGTGATTTTCTTATTTCTTCTGTGCCATACAGGTTGTTATGGTGGAACACGTTTATTGGTCAACGTTTCGACAATTCGTCGTCTTCAGGACCTGCGGCTCACCCAGTTTCTGTCAGCCTCCTCGTGTTAGTGAGCGATTAAAACCGATTATTATCCACCATGGGTGAAACCTCAGTTTGGGGGATGGCACTCATTGTGCTCTCCAATACTAATAAGGGTGAGGAGTAGAGCTTCATGACATCTAATCGATTCATTTAAAATTATTCCTGATTTGAACCGGTGTAATGTGGAAGTACATACTCCTAGGGTGCTTTCAGATTTCGGCATTCTGGGGTCCAAGGAAATAGTCCTGAACCAGGGTATGGACATCTTTCCTAGGCTGTGTGAGCCTAGGGTGGACGATCACATCCCATAAATTGCCTAGGAGCAGGATTTGCGTGATGTGGGCATACACCGGTCCTTATCAAAAGTGCGCTTGAAATGAGTCGTTTAACTATTATCTTATGGGTAAATGGGTCAAAGTCCAAAGGAGTGCTCTCTAGTACTACGGATAAGATAACAGGGAGTGCCCCCCCGAACTGGAATTTCATCCCACCATAACAACCTGTTTGGCACAGAAGAAATAAGACAACATGCGAAATCGCAGGTTCCAAGAAAACCAAACATGGAATTTACTGTGATTTCCCCTGTGCAGTCGGCCATGGTATGACGGAGAGACACAGCGTTGCGAAGAGAGGGAAAACACGAGAGAGCACTTCGCACGTGAGAGGGCGCAAATGCCACGGCTGCGATGGGTAAGGATGGTCCCTGCTTAGCGCCCCTGCCGCGCACTACTGAGTCGGGACAGTGTGGCAACTTCCAAGCTCGGGATCCTCTATATCTCACTGAAGGAGGTGGCTCTTGACCCGTGGTTTTATGTGGGTGCGAAACCGTCTAACAAAGAAGGCAGTCCTCTTCCAACGATGTTTTGGTACATTAGCCACCTTACTCGCCGTCATCGACATCTGGAATCGCGTATTCGTGAACATAAACATCAGTTTCGAAGTACTGGACCACCCACGGCGCTTGCGTGTTCACATCGCTGCTATCGTACTCCATCTGCTCGCAAGCAATCATATGGCTGCCACTAGCAGGGCAATGATCCAACGATTCTCACCGCGCTATCGCACTTTTCTTCTTTGAAATTATCGACAATCGAAAGGTGTTGTCAGACAGATTTTGCACCAGCTGTTCGATGTCAACAGCTGCGCGTCGTGTGAGCATCCTGCTAATCTCTGACTAATCAATTCCTGAACGCCAAGCGAGAATGTGCAGGGCTCGGTTAGCGCCCAGAGAGAACGGACTGCAATGCGCAGCTCCACTCACGCCTCGATGAGGCGGCTTACCGATAAATTCTTTGGCTTTCATTTAGAGTACACATGAAATGAGGGAGGAAATCAAATGCCTTAAACGAGAAAAGTCCTTCTCCATCTGCGTGCTCACCCTATGGTCAATATTTCAGCGCATTTTTTCCATGTTTGTTGTGACAATACCAACAATTGTGAAACTCATCGCTTACAGATTATCATGAACTTTATCTATGGTCCTCCACGAATGGTGAACACCGACGACTGGAGAGCACCTGGCCTCTTACCCAATATCGGAAGAGAGTCAACGGTACTGATGCCTTGGAAGGGGGAGGGGCTTCGAGCAGGTGAACCAACTAAAGTCACACTAAGTGTGGCAAAAAGTTGAATGATTGTTTGAGATCACAGTGGCCATGAGCCGCTGATAAGGTAAGAGACCGCAAACGAAAGCGCGAGTGAGGCAGTTTGAAGGACCAAGTTCAAGTAGTTCGTCGACCAAGCTCATCCAGCACCGAAATCAAGTACAAGAACGAGGGTCCAACGTCGCACAAGCTTGAGCGTTCCTCCCAGCTTCCCCTTCATTAGTGCACACTTGGCCTCAGTCTTTACATGCTGCGGAAATCATATCCGTACTACACCACGGTGCCGCGCGCAGCCCGCCGCAATTTGTGCGACGCCGCGCTGTGACCTAGTGGTACACCTCAATAAATCTAATAAATTTGCATCTGACCGTAAAAAAACGAGGTCATAGAAGCTTCAATAGGTAATATTTAGGCATTAAGCGGACGCCAACAGGGAACAAGCCTCTAGGAACGTACGAAAGAGCATTAAAGGAGGATTCACGATAAGAACGAAGGTCAAAGAAGGGGAAAATTGCATAGTTGGGAGACAGGCGGACCTCCTGAGGGTGCTGACCGACGCGCAATTGGCAGCGAAAGATTTGACCTCGGCGATCTAGCATGGCTCACTCTTGGCGCGGTTGGCGGGGTACGCCCACCGACTATCTAATCACTCGCCGCAGGTCTATACGTGGCGAGTGATTAGATAGCAGAGAGAGCGTAGTGTTGAAGAGGGCACAGCGATGAGAGTCGCATCAAAGGGGTCCCATTTCTCGGGTTCTGGGCCGTTTCTCATGGTTCTTCCTTCTTTCGTGTACCACTCACCATCCCTAGGTTAATTTGAAATGGGTTGCTTTTTCATCGTGAATTCGTCCTTTAAGGCAAATCTATTTGAAATGAACTCACCAATCCAAAATATAAAAAGACCCGTTACAATCACCAGAAAATCGCTGCAGGCAAGAAATAATAAATGAATATTGGCTGAATTTTGCATCCTGAAAGCTCTCTTGTAGAAGGTGAATTGTCCAACAAAACGAAGCAATTGTATTATTAAATTTTTGGAGCTATTGCAATAAACTGGTCATTGGTGGGGGAGACGGTCAATTCAATCGTCGCCTAATGAGGTCACGCCGCTCACGCGGCGATCAGCGTCGCGCGCGGCAGTTGGTGCGGCGATTTTTGTAGGACTTTCATTGACAACTTTCGGCAAAGTTGC